ATTCTTAGATGGTGATAAACTGATATAATTTTGTGATGTAATTGGTTAAGTATATACTGAGACCATTAGCATGTTTATACCTCTTGACTAAGCTACTTCCACTTCAAAGAAACAGAAATGTGGTTGATAATCACCTAGTGCTGAAATTCTGGATCATTTTAATTTTTATCCTTTTATATACTTTTAATTTTTTATACAGTATACAATATGTATAATGACACATTTTAAAATATTTTAACTATTAATTTTGCATGAAAAACTTGAACATCCTAACAATAAAACTCCTAGGAAAATAACTATATGCTGTATTAGTGCAACCAGGAAGCTGTACTAGATACAGCCAAGCCCACAGGGCAAATGATTAAACCTACTTGAGGTAGGTACAGAAGATTCAGCTTGTCAAGAGGTTAGGAAGGAAGGATATTTGTTTCAAAGGAAAAGGAAAAAAAACTTACAAGGGCATAAAATAGTGTTCCTCAAAGTGTGACACATGTATACCTCCTCATTAGCTGGAGTCATTGTAATGTACATCTTTGCCAATTCAAACCCACTAAATCAAAACTCCTGGGCATGAGGCATAGGAACCTGCCATATGCCTGGCTCCCTGGATTGTTCTCATGCACAAAATTTGTTCACTACGTTACAAAACAACAACAACAACAACAACAACAAAGTAGTATGACATACTTTGGAAATTGACCATAATTTAGTTCAACTGAATTGTAGCTTATAGGTGATGGTAGAATGAGGGAGATAAATCTGGAGAGGAATGTCATGGTCCACTTGTAAGAAGTCTTAAATGGCACACTAGGAGCTTGGACAGTTAACATGAAGATTCAGTGGGAACCACTGAAGAGTTTTAAAAGGAGTAACCTGATACTGTGGCATCAGTGTGGATGACTGGATAGGGAGCAGAGAGGCAGAAGGGCAACTTGGGACAATGTTTTAATTTTCCTGGAATAAGATAGCAGCATTACCATAGACTTGAATACATATACTTGGTGACAAATTGAATACTGAGTGAAGGGAGAAATGCTTTGGGATGATTCCAATTCCTTCATTTGCTTGCCTCCATTCTAATCTTAAAACAGAATATCTAGACAAAGAATATCTTAAAACTATAAGCTGTACTTTTCTACCTTTGCTTGTTTTATCACAAGACCTATATTTTAGTGGAAATATGAAGCCTATAAAGATAAGCTTGTGCAGCCACTATAATAATACATGAGCAGACACTCTATAGGACATTCTCTTACTGAATAATATCATTAAATAAATGTCTCCAAGATTGTTGGCAGAGAGCATGTATACTTGGAGATACTGTGATCCAGGCAATCTGAAAGGCTCCATTGCAGTTTCTGTGTTTCAACATGTGACAGTGTGTATGCCTAGAGGAGGAATGAGTGGTGGTCCAGAGTAATTTTTTTCTCAATAAAAGACTATTTTATTAAGAGCCAGCCCATTTTTATGTGTCTCTTTTTGTGTCCCACAATGAGACATTCCTTTTAATCAGTCTGTCTGGTGAAATCACAGCAGTGACTTGTCTTCAGACTGACTGTGGCAAGAAGGAATTTCCCTTAGATGGCAGGATGACCTGACAGGTTTATATATTTCCTCATTAAAATAAAATGGCAGACATTTGGGGTACTAGAAAGTTGTTCTCTGAAGGCTCGAATTCCTACTCAGGCTGAACAGAGAGCTACAGCTGTAGGCTGAATGTAGGGTGAGCAATCCCCCTGAGGCCTTTGGCTGCAGGGAAGTTAAAGGCCGCAAATACCAAATCAAACTTCCCTATAGCACCAAGAACCCCCAGAATTCTCAAGGCTCCGAATCACTCACTGGACAGTCCCTGAGCACATAAGATCCTTCGGCTACAATCATTCTCAAAAACCACCAAAAGTAGGCCTTACTCAACCAAAACCTTTTAATGTTAATGCTGCTTTTTGGTTACATCCCATATAAAAGCTATAAAAGCATTCCTCCTCCCACTCCTTTTAAAAATGTCAGTAGTTTCTTGGAGAAGCTAACATATCTGTCCTATACAGTGTCCAACATTATGGATTTGGCTGATTGATCTTCCCTGGTTTCTTGTAAATTGTGCCTTTATCCCCAATATCGCCTCATGAGCTGGCAATATGATAGTTAAGATCTAAAGGTTTGATTAACTTCATTTTTTTCTTTTTTCTTTCTGCAAGAGTCCTTCATGGGGAGGAGGTGTGCACTACTTACTGCATCATATCAAGAAGTAAATAATGTCTGGTGGCACATTTTTATTAATGTTAAAATTATCTATTGATTCAGAGACATAGCCTAATTCCTCCATCAACCTTTCATGCCTTGATTTCAGCATCCAAGGATGATCATTGCCCAGATGTATGCTTTCATGAGAGCTACCTTCTAACATTTCAGTGTGTGTGTGTGTGATTGAGATTCTCTGTGAATGACTTTCATACACTATTTAGTTTCCTGGTAAAATTTTAAGGATAAACAAAATAGAATAAATGCTTTATTCTTTCTCTTAATTTATCATTTTTCAAAGTAATGAGAGAGTTCCCTAACAACCTCCAAAAGTGACCAAGGAGGTGTGTAATTATTAACTCATTCTGTATTCATTTTAATATACTCATATATATTGCAGTCATTATTTGTTTTTATGTTCATATCACCCTATTTTAGATCACCGAAAGGCCCTTAATGTTACTCTCCTATTTTTGTGACAGGATTCAAATAGCTTCCTTATTCTCTGGAATAAGATGGCCCAGGTTCATCTTATGTATTTCCTCTTCCAGACCTGGATTCAGTGATTTCTCCTAAGAGCCCTGGTTCCCTGGTTCCTTCTACTGAGAAATCATATTTAGAGACCACCATCTGAATGGGAGGTATACTTACTGCTACTGAATTGTCATTGCTTCAAGGATATTTCAGTGGGAGGGAGGAAAATACTTTTTTTTTTTCCAAAGAGAAAATAAATTTTGATTTCATGCTAATACTTATATTCCAATTTAAAATCTAAAGAGTTTTTCTTAATTCTTCATTTCCATACTTTTTCACTTAACACTGAAAATCTTGACTTCTAAAGAAATAAATTCTTATATTTTCATACAGAATATATAGTAAAATGTAGCATTCTATGTAAGTTCAAAATAAAAATATCAGTGTTACTAATAAGACTACTAAATGCAGGGGCGCTTGGGTGGCTCAGTTGGTTAAGTGACGGTCCTGGGATCGAGCCCCGTATGGGGCTCCCTGCTCAGCGGGAAGCCTGCTTAGCGGGAAGCCTGCTTAGCGGGAAGCCTGCTTCTCCCTCTCCCACTCCCCCTGCTTGTGTTCTCTCTCACTGTGTCTCTCTCTGCCAAATAAATAAAATCTTAAAAAAAAAAAAAGGCTACTAAATGCATTTTCATTTACTTGACCCTTAGATTATATCCCCTAAAAGATAGTCAAAATACTGGCTTTGAAAGTCACCAGAAATAATTACATATTCTTTCTGCAGTTAGGCCATTATTTGATATTCATTTGGGTTGTTTTGGTTTGTTTCCAGTTGTACAAGGAATGCTTTCTATTCTTTATATTTTACTTTCTTATTATATAAAATGTTTACGTGGTCTAAGATCACAGCCATATAATGAAGTACATCCACATAAATTTTATCTCCATGCCTGTCCCATCCTGTTTCCCCCTTCCTGCTATAAGTAACTATTTTAATATTGTTATGTCCTCTGTGATGTATTTATTCATGTTGCTCTAGACCCTTTTTAAAAATGTATTCTAAGGATCAGATGATGTCTATATATAGGTATTTTGTTCATTTTTACATTCATATCTTTAATCCCCTGGTTATGATTATCTGGTTTGTTTCCTGTTATTGGTTGTTCCAAATAATACATCAATGAATGCCCTCAGGAATATACCATTTTGTATTTTTGTCACAATACCTTTGGGATAGATTTTTAAAAGAGGGATTGCTCAAGCAAAAGGCAAATGCACTTATAATTTTGCTAGATTGGGGGGCATGATTTTAAATATATGACCTTGCCATGAAAATGTAGGAATTTTTTAAAATATTTTTATTACAGAGGAAAGAAAAAACTGTTTAACTGGAATGACCATATTTATCAAGAATAATTCATTAGTAGAATTTAAATTATCAAATTCATGCATAGTTTTTGGTGTAATTTAAGTAAATGCCTTGAATATTCAGTTCAAAAAGCTCTAACAATTTTAGTGTTATGTCTATTATGTCTTTGGAAGTAATGAAGATCTATATATATAAACAAATACATACATGTGAGTGGGGATGGATGGGTGGAAAGGTAGATGAAGAGAGAGAGAGAATTTTATCCCGGAAGAAAGCATTTCAGATTTTAATAAATTTACCAACTTTTTATTCAAAAAAGTTATCTTATTATCTTCTAAATGACACAGTAGATATAAAAGTTAGTCATGTCTATATAATAGCACTTGTACAATTGTACTGCGTACAGTACAATTTTCTAAACTGTTGGTAAATCGGCAAGTTTGTTTCCTTGGACCTAAAATATAATGCAACTTTTAAATGCAGAATAAAATGTATTTGCTGGTCCTTTTTATGATCATATGTGTTAAGAGAACATGACTGTATCGTCTTTTCTTTTCAGTTACTATCACTGCTGAAATCAGGAAGAACAACTCCAAGAACTGAGTGAGTTATTATTTGCTTTTATATCTTAGGCACAGCAAGAATTCAACTACATTAAAATATAGGTGAATGGTAAATTAAAAATAATCGATTCACATTTGAATAGCAGCTGGTTATGTGTAAAAATACATGAAAAAGTAACCTGTAGCAATAAAAACTGATGTATAAATCATTAATGATTCATTTCCCCGTATCACCGTATTATTCTTAAGATATAACCACAGAGCCAATAGCATCCACAAGATGACATATAGGGGAAAAGGTTAAAATTACTCCTTCCAAGTTAGTAGTCTTCCATGAGCAAAACAGTGTCAGGTATCTTCTAATTCTTTTCCTTCTTCACAGCTAAAGTCAACAAAATAAAAATATCACATATCTCCAGTCCATAGACTCAGTTTAAATCAACATTTCCAATATGCTTACACACTCACCTCAACTATTTTTAATGATTATAAAGTCAGTTTTACTCACTATCCACTCAAGTTATTAACTTTCTACCTTTAAAATGCAAGGATACAGTTACTACCTGTTGAAGCTAGCCAGTACAAGTATTTAACAAAACTGACTGGTACTAAAGTGCTATTTACGTAGAAATGGTCTAGAAATGGCAATATGCTATTAGGACAACGGATACATAAAAATATAATTTTGCTTATGAATTATTTATAAAGTTAGTTTAAAAATTGAATAAGAAAAAATCTACTACCTTTTAGACAAACACGTGTGCAGTCCTCCATGTTAGCAAAGTTATTGTCATTCCCTCCACAGCCAGTATAGGTGAAGGCCTCACAGGCTTTGTGTCTTGGATTAAAATAATAGCGAGTTACATTAGCAGAGCATTTTCCCCCATCTTTTGGACTGTAGCAATATGACGGACCTTGATGAAAAGGAAAACAAAATTAGAAATGTAATAATACCAAAATTAATAAACTGTGATGATTACTGAAGCTTCATTCTGAATTCAGAATATCATACCAAACCATTTAAAAAGTGTGTCTCAATTTTCAAGAAAGCTTGCATGCTCTAGTTTGTTAATTCTAAAATTTTTATAAACTGGAGAGAATTTCTTAAGTTATGTCCTTGTATCATTTGAATGTGTTAAGAAATTAAACCCAAGAAGCAGATACGGTCAAGTAGAAATTGGCTGTGTTTCAAGGGTTGATGTATGACATGCTTTAGTAAACTTTCTTGTGTTGGTAGGTTTATTTTAAACGTTTTCATCAGTTCTCCTTCCATCATTAATTAAGATTACATTTGTGTAATTCCCAAGTAGCCATTGGAACATTTATCTTTATATAAAACATTTAAGGAAACACAAGCAACAACCATCTTCTCATTAACTCGAGATTCTGCGTACAGTACAATTATAGAGCTTCCTCAAATCTCTTCCAAAGCAAGTTTTCCTTGTTTGTTAAGTTTATGTATCTTTCTGTATGTGTGTCTCTGCTATGCCTAGGGAAAATGCCTGTATTGTCTCTCTCTACAGAAATATTGCCCAAGTAACCTGTTATTTCAGGGACTAAGGAGGTGGGGGGGGATGTAGGTAAGAAATAGGAGCAGAAAAAAGAAGGATGGAGAGGTCTTTGTCCTACACTTTGCAATTACTAAAGGATACAGAAATCTAACCAAAAACTTTAGACAGAAATTTTCAAGATTCACCATTTGAGGTCTGGATATGTTCTACTACATCCTATACACAAGTGATTCCATATAAACCTGAATTCATGGCATTCAGAATACTGTGATTTTTTTTTAAGATTTCTCCTTTTTTTTTTTTTTAAGATTTTATTTGTTTATTTGAGAGAGAGGCAGTGAAAGAGAGCATGAGAGGGGAGAAGGTCAGAGGGAGAAGCAGACTCCTCATGGAGCTGGGAGCCCGATGCGGGACTCTGGGATCAAGACCTGAGCCAAACTGAGCATTCCAGGCGCCCAACGGTATTATTTATTTTGAGAGAGAGAGCAAGAGGGAGTAAAGAGGGCAGAGGGAAAGGGAGAGAGAAAACTTAATCTCCATGCTTGGGGCTTGATCCCAGGACCCTGAGATCATGACCTCACCCTAAATCAAGAGTTGGATGCTTAATGGACTGAGCCACCCAGGCGCCCCCAGAATACTGTAATTTGTATATGTAAACTGAGAAGATGAGAAATAGCCCTAAAGAAACAATCCAGAACAGGAAGCAAAAACTTAAATCATGCACAGCTTTGTGACCCTCTAGCCCTGAGAACTTGGCAAGTCATTAACTTCTGGTAGCCTGTACTCTCATATGTAAAGGGGGGAATAATAATAATATTACCTCACGGGGCATATATATATATATATATATATACATACATACACACACACACACACACACATACATACACATGGTAGGACTGATACCCTACTATATGTGAAATCATCAGAACACAAGGCATGTAATTACACATCAAAGTATTATTTTTCTTCCATCCTAAAATCTTAAAGAAATGAAACAGAAACCCCATAAAAATAGTATTTACTTTTCTTTGGTGCACAGTAGCTCATACAAGTATCCTTGTCCGGGAACCTGTTCTTATTGTTGTGACACCTGCCAGATAAGAATTTTTCACATGCCATGGAACTTAGATTGAAGAAGTACTCTTCTCTGCGCACTCCACACCGCCCCTCACTGACTTCCAACCTGCAAATATGAGGAACTTCTAGAAAAAGGAGGGCATAAAAAATGCTAGTCAAAAATTAGCTTTAGTATTACTTAGTATTACTTACTTTCAGTATTACTAATTACTAAGTTACTGAAGTAATTAGTAAGTAATACTTACTTAGCATTACTTCAAAACTTTACTGTATTTTCAGAAACAACTGGGGAGAAAACGGTATCACATTTAGTACTGGGATAGTAAATCCCCAGAAGACTTTTCGTTCATCCAGTTATTTAGCTCTCTCTCTCTTTTTTTTTTTTTTTTTTTTTAAATAGCAGCTCCAGACCTAAGTCAGCCAAATACAGTGGAAACTCTCTGTTCTCTCAGGGTGTTCTGATTTTTCTACATAGGAAGTTAATCAGACTTATTCATAGGAATACATACACATTTTTCCTTGGCTTAGTTCCTTGAATGGCAAAGTCCCACGTTTTTTTACTGGCCTTTTTTACTGGCCTATATTTACCAGATATAATAAATATGATTAAAATAAAATAGAAACCATGATCATGAATCTCTACTATATCCCTGTACTAACCCAAAACAAGTTTGGGTGTCAGGGGACAAAAGGAAAAGTTACAGTTAGCTAAATCACACCTTAACAATAAAATCTGCTGAAAAGTATGTCAGATTGATGGATAATCGACAGGAGGAAACAGGGCTCTCCAGGAGGCATAAAAAACCATGGGTTTAGAACTAAGGATAAAGAAAAGTACTTATGTGGTACCCAATACATCACACCCCTGCATTATTATGCCCTACGGTGAATTCTTGCTCTGAGTCTGCACAGACACTGAATTATGATAAATGCCACTTAGGAGAGAAATTTGTTAGCCAGTGTAAACTTGGGATTACTTTCTGGAAATAATAAGCGAGCCTTACTTAATGTTTGAGAAAATAAAGGCTAAAACTTACTGTAGAAAATGGGATCTGAGAAATTAAGTTACTAGCAGCCAGGAGATCTGAGCTTGAGCACAGCCACTTACTGTCTATCCTCCAGCAAGCTTCATTGCAGTCCTCCAAAGTTTCGAAATTGTTGGCATTGCCCTGGCAGCCCCCGTAGAAGAACTGGCGGCAGCTCTGTGTGAACCTGTCGTAGTAGTAACGGCGAAGCAGGGCTCGGCAGGGTCCCACTTCGGGGGGCTGGAGGCAGGTCTCTGCATTGTTTCCTTCTGGAGGAGCAGAAGGAGAGCCTGAGAGAGGGAAGGAGGTCTGCCACGTCTCCGGGAAGGTAGAGGCTTCCCGAGGACTTCTGTCCCCTGCTTCCCAGCACAAGGGGAGTCGCAGAGAGAGAAAGTACAAACTTCTGCAGGAGTATCCCTTCCCGCGGGTCCCAGACGCCCTGTGCGACAGGGGTCTGGGGAGAGCGGGGCAGAGAGAGCGGGTGCAGTCCGGAACCCCACAGTTGCAGCACCCTCCCTGCTTACCCCAGGGCGGAAGCGCGGCGCAAAGAGGAGGGGTCCCCGGACCGGGCAGTACCTGGAGAGCTCTGAGCACTGACGCCCCGCCCGCTCATCAACAGGAACAACCACAGAAGCGTAACCCCTATGCCGGTCATAAAGTCCATGCTGTCCCGTTCGAGTGGCCCTCGGGGCGAGGCGTTTCTTGAATGTGCCGGCGGGAAGAGGGTGCACAAGGTCCAGCCTCCAGGCAGCCTGGGTGCCGATGCGGTGGGTGCCTGCTTTATGTAGGGTGATTGTCCTTCCGACTCCGGCCGGGGGCGGAGCGTGCCTGTGCGGAGCCCAGGAGGCTGATTCATGCCCCACAGGCTGTGACCTGTCACAGCCGTGTGTAGGAAACTGCGGGGGCGGGAGACGGGCAGGGGGGATTCCCCACCAGGTTGAACCTGCCTCCCAAACTTTCTCCTAGCTTTGCCAGAGTGACTAGACGGGGCATTCTGTGAGTGATGGGAAGTCGGCAAGCTAGAGGGAAATGACCTGGGGGTGATTGCACAAGGTTCCAACTTGCAGCATCACGGGGAAGCCTGAATCTCCATGATGAAAGCACGATGTCCGAGTATTTGAAGGCAGAGAGCAAGTGTGAAATTCAGCTGAGGGGAGCCTAATTCGTTGCAACGAATTATTAGATTAGATTAGAAAGATTAGAAAGTTAATTATGTGTATTTATTTACATTTATGCATGCATACTTTTTTCAGTCAAGATTTAATTTACATTTAATAAAAGGCTCATGATAGATCTTAAGTGTACAGCACTATTCCAGTCAACAATTAGAACTCTTGCAGCACCCCAGAACACTCTCTCATACCCTCTCCCAGTCAATCCTTCTGATCCCAGGCAGGGGCAACCACTTACCACCAGAGTCTTGCCTGTTCTTGAATCTCATGCAAATGGAATCATGAAGTGTGTATTGTTTGTACTTCTTTTGCTCCACTACTGTTTTCAAGACACACCATGTTATTGAATAGTTCATTTCTTTTAAATGCTGAGTCCAATGTATGAATATACTACAAATGTCCTGTTACTGGTCATTGCATTGTTTCTAGTTGGAGACTGTTATGAATAAAGCTGCTTAGTGTGTACATACTTGTTTAAGCTTTAATTACTTGTGGGTAAAATATTTATCAATGTTAAAAAACTGCCACTCTTCCAAAATGATTGTATCATTTTATATCCACCCCACCCCTCATCAGCCCTGTGTTAGTATTGTGGCTGTGTTTTTTGAGCTGGAACTTGAAACTCCATAGGAAGGTGGCTATAGGGGATCCCAGATTGATCCCTTCCTGCCCATTCCTAATCGTCAGTGCATGAATGTTCATTGCTCCTCTGACATATTAGCCTGAGTCTGATTTTTTCTTTATTCAAAACAAATTATTTATGCTTGGATTTCACATGAAATATTGAAGATACGTTTGGTGAACATTTTAATGGATTCTCTTGATGAATGTGCCTTCCTCCCCCTTTTCCTCTTGTTGTATTTAATATTCTCCAGAGAACAATTATTCCTGGCTTCTCCTGAGGACCTGGAAGGAGTTTACAGGAGTTCCTTTCAAAGTTTCTGAGAAACCCTATGCTCACAGAGAGTTACTTGTCCGGGACATTTTGCACACTAAATCCCTTGTGCCAGTTTTCAGTTATTCTGATGTCATGCCATAGAATCCTATTCCTAAGAAAACTAGCCTGTCCTGGAAATATTCAGTGTTAACTGATGCTGTCAGATTACCAGATATCTATGATTAACAGTCCAAGATGTGAGGACAAATGTTTAACAACCAGCTCTCAGGAGGGAAACTTAGAAGGGTTTGCTGATTTGTATAGTCTACTGATTTCCGAGGTTTGTCAGTACTCCCATTATGGCCAATTTCAAACAACCAGAACTGGAAATAGGTACAATCAGTTCACCGGAGCTGGCATGCACTGGCTTTAGCATGCCAGCCACTGCAACAGCCAGCTATTTTGGAAAGACACATTCCTAGGAGAATCAGATGAGCCCTTCCCAAACATTAAGAGACAAGGAAAGTTTTACCAAACAGCCAGTATCACTTTCAGGAGAAAAGTGAAGTCAACTTCAAATATTCATTCTTCTGAATATGATTAAATATATCTCCCATATGGACTAAAATAAATTCAAGGACTGATTCAAACTTGCCATTCAGCGTTGACTATTGTCATTTTTGTTCTTTGTTCTCATGTGCTGGTACTTTTTGATCATCTTTAAGCTTCATATAAAAAGAGGAATCTCTTATATTAGAGCAGGTGATTTTGGAAAATTGCAAGATGCTATGGGAAAATGAATTTTATCCCTTGCTCCTTTGGACAGTCACATAAACTCTCTAAGCCTTGGTTTCCTTATCTGTAAAATGGATATTGAGTGTATTTTTACATGCGTGTTGTGAGGATTAAAGGTAAGGGCCTCAGCACTCAAAAAGATAGGCTTCAGGGGCGCCTGGGTGGCTCAGTGGGTTAAGGCCTCTGCCTTCGGCTCAGGTCATGATCTCAGGGTCCTGGGATCGAGCCCCGCATGGGGCTCTCTGCTCAGCAGGGAGCCTGCTTCTTCCCCCTCTCTCTGCCTGCCTCTCTGCCTACTTGTGATCTCTCTCTATCAAATAGATAAATAAAATATTAAGAAAAAAAAAAAAGATAGGCTTCAGTGCCTTACACACAGGCACAGGATCCAGCCAGATTGTCCATGTTTTGAGTCCAATTGAGAGCCTTGGCCCAAAACATTAAGATGGAAAGAGCAACATGAACTGGCCTCGTAGGACGAAAGCCTGTGACATTGCTCTCATCAGCTCTCCTCTTTGGCTGAGCTCAGCGGTGCCATCTCTGCCTAGGAAGGTGTCACACAATCATACATAACTTTGGGATGGTTTCTTCTGGGGAAATGAGCTTAGGGTTCTTTGAGTCAGAGCAGAGCCTTAGTCCTAGTAAGGACACAGGATGCTGCATTCCCATGGAGGGGAAGGAGAATGGGGAAAGGGCCAAAATCAGGCCCTTCACCCCCCAGGTGTAGAGTCTATGGACACAGGGCAAAATTCATGTTCAGAGGCACTCAAGAAATGTTAATTACCTTCCTTTATTCTATGCCAAATCAGGTGCATTGTTCACATCCCTGTGACCACTGAGCAGGGACAGGGAAGAAGAATTCAACAAATGGGGCCAGTTAGAAGTTTGAGATGGTCAGGCCAAGTTATCAGGAAGGAAATTATGCCTCTTAATTGCAAACCACTTGAGTATCTTTATATCCATGAAAAACATATCTTCCAATGTAAGGGGAATCTAAATTTTCCGGGATTATTTTAAATTACTGAATTCATCTTTAGCACCATGTGGAAGGAGCCATGTGACCACAGCAACCAGCCTCCATAAGGATGTCACAGTGCTTCAATATCCTTAAACCAGTATCTAGGCCAAAAGTTTACCACAGAGCAAAGGAAAAGAAGTCCTTTATCCAAAGTCAACAGGAAGTGGAAGGCTGGAGGGAACCACAAAGAACAGTCACCCAGATTGATTTGTCATTGTTACACCAAGTATTAGCTTTAGTGGCTGTGGCTAAAAATAGAGCTTCAAAATAGTTCGGAGTTCTGTGAAATAAGGCATGGAGTTCTTATAATCTGAATGTTGAAGGAACTATAAATATCCTCCATTCCACTATTTTCATTTTACAGAATTCTATATTGAGACCTGGCCATGTTTCCTTACCTTAGTTGTTGACAGAGCTGAAGACCAGGACCCAGGTTCTTGGTATTCAGCCCCGTATTCTTCCTTACATTCCTGTACCTGGACTCTTTTTACTGTATGGAGATCTCAGAGTGGAACGCTAAATATCAGAATGAAAACACACGGAAGCTTCAGGAACACCTGTGCGTGTGTCAGATCCTTGCTTCTAGGTCTTTCTCACCATCTCCCACATGCCCTCCCCCAAAATGGAGACTAAGTTGATTTGGAACACATTAGTTCCTAGAAGTCCCAAGTCTCGAGTAAGACCTTCTATCTTCTGAGAGCCACGCAGGCTTGGATGGTGATTATGAATTTAACAAGAGGATTAAGGCAGATGGTCTTCCTCCCTGTCAGACACCTCAGAGAGAAGTGGCATGTCTAGCTCATAAATGAATGAGGCGAATTAACTGAGCCAGTGATTTGGGGATATATATTATATATCATAGTCACTTAAGGAGTTACATTGATTAACTCCTCAATAAGCAAAATTCTTGCTGCCTGTTAGCTGAAGTCCTGTCAAAATAAAATCTGAAGTAAGTCCATCTGGCACGAACAAGAATTTTACACGTTTGATAAGAAAGGCAGTTCATCTCTTCTGAGAGATTAGGGATCACGAGGATTTTGTTCAAGTTTAAGCAACTCCTTCACCCACAAGGTGTTTTTCTCGCGAGTTGGGTCACGTAGGAAATGTTTACTCTAGTGCGCCCTCTGTTGGATACAGAGTGCATCTGTGAGCAGTGTATAATGTGGAACCCTGTAAGAGGATGAGACCTTCCCTGTGCCTAATTTTATTATTCTTGTTCTCCTTAGGGGGAACGAGATAATGGGGTATTTAATGTGTCTCTTACCGTGATCATTTCTTCATCCATATATTTTAAAAATAAGCAGAATTACTATTTAATACGTGCCAAACCTTGTGCTAGGCGTTTTGGAATTCAAAGACAAATACATATAGGGATCTCCTAGCATAATAGAGTAGAAAAGTAGACAGACGAACATCACAACTACAATATAGCATTTTCAGTACAATACTAAATATATGTACTAGGTTTTATGGGATCATAGAGGAGGAAATAAAATTTTGGTAAGAGCTCAGTTCAAAACAAAAGCCAATCTACACAAACATATCTAACATTGTAACTTTTATGCCTGTGGGACACAGAGACTCATTCCTTCAACAGCTGCTTGCTTTGGTCAGTTTTTGTTTTTTTTTTAAGGTGTTGTGATTCTAGCAAAGCATTGCCTTCTGTAGAAAGGCAGAATCTCAGAAACCCCTTTTCTCTTCTACCTAAATGTATGTTCATTCAGCTATCATGCCTACTTAAGAGGCAAACCATCTTTTCTTTTACTCACACTGCTGCATACTTAACTATGTCGGGCACCCAAAAT